TGGGGCGAATATCTTATTCATCTGTATCGATATTGCAAACAACTGGACCCAAACGGCATATTCCTCCACCTTTACGAATCAAATTCTTACTATGGGAACAACAGTATTCTACCGACATCATAGTGTTAATTCTTTCTCATGCTTTAGTCTTCATTCGTTGCTCTAGATTCCGAAAGGAAGGCAACTTGAGCCCATAATCATCACATCATCATCCATTGCGCTTGGCCTCGTCTAAGCTATGAAGACATTTTCTTCAGCAAAGGATAATTGATAGGAATCATTCTACAGTTTCAAGGTTGTTGAGAATGGGTAGCAATCTCCGAAATGTCTAACAGGTCCATCTGAAGCTCTTGGTTTCCAAAGATATTCCAGGTCCTTGTTCAAAAGAGTTGAGCACCGAGTTAGAACCTATCCGAGAAAACTCAAACTGTAAGTTGCTTTATTGATTTCGAAAGTTGAGATATTTTAGTTGCGACACTACTAACAGTGGATAACTTGAGCTCCGAGTCAAGGAAGCCACATAGAGGACACTTACAGCAACGTGATATTAGATATGTTCTGCTACATGGTCTTTGGGCTACAGTCATCCTTCAACTATTCAGGCAGTGAAAGATAACCCATAGTTCAGCTAATTATTGATACAACGAACAGAACTTGGGAAGAACCCATCCAATAGCCTAAAGTACAATAGCAGACATTACCTTGTATAGCTATTGCCGAATGGGAGAAGATTGTGGCCATATTGGCTTTGGGATCTCAGCGATTGAAATGCATCAAATAACATTCTAGTCACTATGTTTCACCAATTTTTAAGTCCCTTTCTATGCACAGCTATTATATGGAAACGTGCCCAACAGCGACCTTGAGCGAACATCTTACAAGTTTGAATGAAAGTCTTTTACAGAAAAACATTCGCCTGGAAATCCTATCTATTCTTTCTTTCGAAAACTCATTTTATAGAAGAAAACTGGTATCTTCGTCTGTCGACCGATTGAAAGACAAGGCACGTTGGAGTCCACATCTATACAAAGTTTCAAGAATATCTGTAAAAATAGACTTGCTTGGCCCCTTTTTGCATAAATATGTTATCCTCTACAGAGAAAGGGCAATCTGAATAAGATTATGGAAGAAAAATCTAAGTCTTGAACGATTGTCTGATGTTTTATCTTTCGTGGAGCAAAGGAAAGCACTTTTTGGGGACCAAAGTTTGGAAGTGATCGACTCTTCCTTAACTAGACACCTATTAAGAAGGATGAAATGTCTCTATATTATGCTAGAAACGATTTTGACCTGGTCTCAAGGTTCTCCTAATTTTGGAACATTGATGGCAAGTAAACAAACCAAAAACTAATTGGTTCGATCCGTTACTGCAATAAGTGAGATTCACTTTGCACATGGGAGAATACTTTCAAAGAGGTTTGAGTTAATCACAAAAATTTCCTAGATAGACGAAGAGTTTAAGAAGCAAAGGCTCTCTTCTGACAAAGGATTATTATAATAGCTCGGAAGAAAGACCTCTTTCTTAGATATAACATTCAGATTTAGTGTTGTGAAAGTACAAGGCAGTTGAAGAAGACGATAGCGATACTATTCAAAGAGTATCCTTTCCAACTCAGCTTTCTGCTGCCTCCTGATAGGCTTAAGGCTACCCAACCTTCTTACTTGAGGTCTTTTCTGTTGAGCTTTCTTTCTCTAACTCTTGCACTGGCTCGACTATGTGATATCCACTCGAGCTTCGGTACTGTACTAGTCAAAGTAGCGCTGCAAGACATCCTACGCAGTTGACGTCTAGTGTTACTTCGTTTCCAATGCCTCAGCTCTTTTTAAGACCAATAGAGCATCTTTTACTACACGGAGCACAAATACTTCTGTTACATTGTCAATATTGAATAGTCCCATTCCTCATGCTTCAAGCAGCTTCCAACCTCGAGTCTTTTATAAAAACAGCAACATCTATTGCAAATATTACGAACCTAAAAGATATCACTACTTCCACCCATATTACTGCCAATGATATCCAGTCTTTAACGTCGCAAAAAGAAAGTCTAATGCAAATAGCGAACAAAAAAAGCATTTTCAGGAGCTAAAGTTTGCAAATATCATCAAAGAAAATAGCAAAGTGGTTGCACCAGCCAACATATCCTCTTTCGACGCCAATTCATTTGGATGGTGACTTATTCCATTTTTACATCGAATAAACATCATTTGGGTGTCATACAAATCATGAAGAATTACTGCATCATGTCCAGCACCGCTTACTAGAGTAGGAATCAATACATCTGAACGAAACAACCAGAGTTTATCAAATTTTTGACGCAACCAAGAAAACCATTTTTGATCCGTATAAAATTGAATGGATAAGTAAGCACCACGTTGAATAATTTGTTGACTCCATCCGCTTTCCATTTCAATCGTTTTTGTATTATGTAATTGTTCATAACTGACTTTTACCTTTCTCTGTTTGGCAATCTCTTTGAATCTTTGCATTATCTGATTCGTGACATTCGAACCCTGTTGATCTGATACCGATCGAATATCCAAACTAAATGAACACAAGTGCGGAATACTATTAGAAGATCCTGGAGAAACAGAAATATTGCCAACTGTGGATACCAAATATTGCGAATCATTCTTTCCACTTAGTGCATTTTTGGTAATGTTTTCTACTTGTTGAATCATTTCCACACAAGCAGCAACTGCATCCTTCCTTAAATACATAGGAACAGTGCCTGCATGTCCTCCCTGGCCTTTTACATGAAACGTCCATCGTTGCTGTCCACATATAGCAGAAACTATTCCTATTCTCTTATTGAAATGTTCCAAAATGGGTCCTTGTTCTATGTGCCATTCCCAATAGCCTAATACTCGATGGTCAACTGCAAAGGGATAATCCTCACAAAAATATTTGATGATCGTATTGCAATTATCTTCTGATAGTGAAAAGACATTGTTATCCATTGATTGAGCAAGAATATAATCTGCAAGTGTCTCTTTGGGATTGATAATATTGGGACGACGGAGTTGCTTCTTCAACATATGATAACATTTTCTTCTTGTTCCATTTCTCTTGGCCATAGAGCCAGCCATATAGAACAGGGCACCAGTATGGACCACACCAAAATTGTTGTTTCCTTCTTCGTTCTCAAAGGCGACAATCTGAATATCGAATGGCAATACCACTTTTAACTTGAAAAGTGCCTCCACAACAGAAATGGCTACCAAAACACCATATGCACCATCATACTTACCAGCATCTTTTACTGTGTCATAATGAGAGCCAATAATCAAAGTTTTATTTCTCTCGGGGGTTCCCTTGTATAGTCCAATCACATTTCCGACCCAGTCGATGGCTACGTTGGAACAACCCGCCTCATATAATAACTTTTCAATATATTTTGCAGCTCTCTTATTGGCAGAAGAAAGAAATGGCCTATTTAAAACTCTGTTGTTGGTCTCCTGGGAGATGGAACCCAACACATTTATTCTTTCCAATAAATTTTCACCAATTGAGTCTATTACTTGCTTCAAGTTGGAAAACTTGTTCATAAGGAATTCAAGGCATATCTCTGGCTCTTCGAATCCACTCGCAAAAGGACAATTGGGTTCTGTTGTTGTCACCCAAGGCAAAATACAACAAAGAACGAAACCCAACCACCAAGAAAGCATAAAACTACATTGACGTCCATTCATATGAAATTTTCTGGTTACTAGGATGAAAGAATAACCACAGTTCTTATAACTTATTTTCTTCCCTCCTTTCACTAGAGGAGTAGTCTCCGAGCATGAACAGTTAGACAATAGCAATCTCCCAGAAACGGAAATGGGATCGGTTGAGATAGCATTGTGTTATGGAGAAGAATGACTTTGACAAGGTCTTCTGCTTTATCAATGGAATACCACACTATATAGAGAAACCTGAAAAATTACTGATAAATTATTTGAGAGAAGACTGTAAACTCGCTGGTACAAAGCTAGGCTGTGGTGAGGGTGGCTGTGGAGCATGTACAGTATGGATATGGACTGTTCATCCCGTGTCACAACAACTTGATTGTTATACAATCAATGCATGCCTTGTAACTTTAGCTATGGTAGATGCTTGTTATATAGTAACAGTGGAAGGAATTGGAAGTCGTAAGGATGAATTGCATCCTATTCAAAGGTTACTTGTTCAACACAACGGTTCACAATGTGGTTATTGTACACCGGGAATCCTAATGTCTATGTTTGGTTTCTTGGAGAAAAACAAATTTTCCAAACAAGTGTTAGATATCGAAGAAATAGAGTCTTGCTTTGATGGCAATCTTTGTCGTTGTACGGGCTATCGATCTATTTTCGACGCCTTTCGGAGTTATGTCCAAGCAAAGGAAACTTTTTGCATAAAAGAAAGTATTTCTATTCCTGAAGATGCACTACAGCACATTTTTTTGGAAAGAAGAAGAAAACTTCGAGTGTGGATATCTCAGCAACAACCACATTGTAACAAATCGATGTACCTAAGCGAGACAACAGCTTCTCCTTACAATTCTTTTGACAGATTTCCCATTTTTGTACGACCCACCAATCTTCAGGAAACAATCTATTATAAGCGTCTCTATCCCGATGCGAAATTTGTGGTTGGAAACTCAGAAATCGGAATCGACATCAAGATGAAAGTAAGTATGTGATGGAATCTATCAAAGTCAAATACTCAAAAGTGAAATTTTATGATAGCAGAAAAGATGGAATTGTTTTATATTATTAAATGATGTACAAGAATTGCTTCATATAGATGATACAAAGTCGAATGGATGGTCCATTGGAGCTGCAGTATCCTTAAGTAAATTGTTGGATCGTATTCAACAATTGAAAGAAAATCAGTTCCAATTTCGAACACTGTACATGCTACGAAACCAACTCCAGAGATTTGCTGGGACTCAGATTAGAAATGTTGCTTGTTTAGGAGGAAATATAGCTACTGCAAGTCCTATTTCAGATATCAATCCGTTACTAGCTGCTACCAACGCGAAATTGAGATGGATATCTTGTAAACACGGCACCTATTCAGAGGCAAATGCCAAAGATTTCTTTGTGGGATATCGAAGTACTCTGCTGAAAGAAGATGACTTGCTAGTGGATGTTCTGATTCCTCTTACGAAGAGAAATGAATATGTTTTTGCCTACAAAGTTTCTCGAAGAGTGGATGATGATATTGCAATTGTCTCTGCCGGAATGAGATTTACTTGTAGCATAATTAGCCAGCAGTCTCCAAACGACTCTATGTTGGTTGACACCAGAATGAACAAAAAAATAGTATTGGAAGATGTCTCCTTAGTCTATGGAGGGATGGCAGATCGAACTAAAAACGCTCAACAAACTGAAATGGTGTTATGTGGATCCGTATTAGAGTCCTGTTCGCTGTTGTCCTTTTGTCGTAATACTTTGGACAAGGATTTTGCTTTGAAGGAGGACTCTCCAGGAGGAATGATTGAGTTTAGAAGGACCTTGGCATGTAGCCTGTTGTTACGTTCTTTTCATCGATTGGAGCGTCTTCTTTGCAATGAGCAAATACAAGATTCTTGTGATGAACTCGACCATTCTACATTTTCTTCCCATGCAACTCAAGTAAGTGGTTTCATTCGTTAGATAGTTCCTTTGATTGGATTGTTATGCACAGATATTCCAACAGTTAAATGACGAAGGAAATGGTACTTGTCATCTTGGAAGAACAGTTCCTCATCAATCCGCTATTTTACAATGTTGTGGAGAAGCACAATATGTCGATGATATACCAAGCTCTTCAGATACTCTTTACTGTGCCTTTATCTTATCATCGGTACCACATGCAAACATTTTATCCATCGACTGTTCGGAAGCTTATAATCAATGTCCTGGGATAAAGAAAATATTTCTTTCTCAAGACGTTCCAGGAACCAATCAATTTGCAATAGCTAATAATGTGGAAGACGAAGAAGTGTTTTGCTCAGGTCATGTAACTGCAGTTGGTCAGGTATATTTTTATAACATATTTGTTTTACATTGCATTGATTCATTTCTATATATATTCTTGTAGATTATTGGAATGGTAGTAGCAGATACTCGAGAGCATGCACTATTAGGAAGAAGAATGGTAAAAGTAGATTATGAAAGGCTACCTGCTATCCTCACTATTGAAGAGGCTCGACAGCAACAATCCTTTGAACACTGTTGTGGTAGAAAAAGAAAATGGTGGACATTTCCTCCTCATTTTATTGAACAAGGAAATGTCGAAGAAGAATTTCACCGTACCGATCTGTTACAAATTCGTGGAAATGTAAAGATAGGTGCTCAAGAACACTTTTATTTGGAGACACATGTAAGTCTTTTATTTAGAGAAATGAGAAAATAGTTTGAAACATGAAACAAAAAGGGATGCTTGGCTATTCCTGGTGAAAATGATGAACTCGTGATATACGTCTCCACTCAAAGTCCTTCTAAAACTCAAATGGTAATTGCTCATGTCTTGGGATTGCCAAGTCACAAGGTAGTTTGCAAAACAAAGCGTATTGGTGGTGGATTTGGTGGTAAAGAAACTCGAAACATATTTATTAGTTGTGCAGTTGCGGTTGCTGCTCACACTTTGAAGAAGCCAATTCGTATATATTTAGATCGAGAAGATGATATGGTGATGACCGGTCATCGTCATCCTTTCTTTGGAGACTATCGAGTTGCATTTGACCGACTTGGAAAGATTCACGCTGTTGAAACTTTGCTTTTTGCCAATATAGGAAATAGTTTGGATTTGTCCATGGCAGTTTTGGATAGAGCACTATTTCATTCTGAAAATGTGTATCATATTCCAAATATTCGAATCGTTGGAAGACTATGTTGGACTCACACTATTTCTAATACTGCCTTTCGAGGCTTTGGAGGTCCCCAAGGAATGGCAATAGCAGAAACTTGGATCCATCATGTTGCTTCTGCAGTGAGTTTTACTTTCATTTGAATAGGCATCATTCTAAGACTGGTTTTATAGTTGATGATGAATCCGGAGACCGTACGTTCCTTGAATATGTATGGAGTTGGAGAAAATAGCTTGACCACTCCCTATGGAATGAAGCTGCTAGGATATTCTGGTTGGGAATGCTGGCAAAGTGTGATGGAATCGAGTGATTTCTGGAAGAGAAAGCAAACAGTGAATGAATACAATGCCAATCATCGATATCGAAAGAGAGGAATTGCCGCGGTTCCAACCAAATTTGGTATATCTTTTACAAATAAGACTTATAACCAGGCCGGAGTTCTTATTCATGTCTATTTGGATGGTAGTGTCTTGGTGAGTCATGGCGGTGTTGAAATGAACG